GGAGTGTCTGGCACACACCCTTGAAGCTGCACAGCATCGGGTACCCCTGCTGTGCACAAGTCCTGCTGCCTGGTGTTTGGGGAGAGATACCCGGGACATACTTTTCCCTTCCCCAGGTCATCCCAGAGGTTTTGTGAGGGTCAGGGCTGCTGTGAATTTGGCAGAGCCCCCCCCCCCAGTGTGTGCGTGCACTGATTCTCTTTCTGATCTGTGACTTCCCCTTCGTCACCTAAGGTGCGAACCGGAAAGTGCTCTTAGACCTGCTGCAAACTGTAGGGACCGAACGCTGCCACCCACCCAATCCCGACTCCCCAAGCCTGGCACCATCTGCCGCCTCCTTCTTCCTGGAAGGCCACCCTTCCTCGCGGAGCAGCGTCAACAGCTTAGGTAAAGCCTCCCCTGGCCCTCCCTCGCTTTCCTCCCTTCTGGCTTCACAGTGCTGTCTCAGATCTCTTCTTCAGATGGGCCATGCTCCTGGCTCCAACTGTCTCCTAGCTCTCAGTTTCTGGTGACTCTGTCCTCATTCAGCTGTTGCGGGATCCCGTCTCTTTTCTCTGTTTTTCCTGTGTGTTTACTCTAAACCCTTGTACTCTATAAACTTTTGTTTTATAGACCTGACACAATGCAGCTCTGTAAAAAGGAAAGGGAAGACTGATTCCCTCACCCCTCTGGAAGAGGTGTAGGACTTAGTTGCCTGTATGCACTTTATCCGCTGGGTCATGTACAGAAGGGGAGGGACTTGCTGGTCTACCTTGAGAACCTCCTAGTGTCATGCTGGGCACAAGGAAATTAGAAGTGTCACCCATTCAGATCCTGGAGGCCAGCAGCTGGGGGAGGAAAGGGATGAAGCCCAGGGATAAGTGACCCTGGTCACAGGGTTTACATTACACGTAGGAAGAGCCTACCTTAGGACATAATGATTGTGTTGTAGCTTGTGCTCTGTGCTGCCCAGACTGTGTGAATAAGCCCATGGGTCTATTCTAGGTGTTGGGCTTTCCTCCTCTGAGGAGCTCTGGAGCTCAGGCAGAGGCAGCATGAGGGGTTATGGAGTGGGCAGTGGGTGAGCTGGCTTGGAGAGAGGCTCTGATCCTCGTGGGAGGGCCATGCAGGCAGATAACAGCCTCTTGTGGTCCACTTCCCCTCTCAGGTTGGTGGTTTCCTTTGCAAAGGCCCTCCTGTGGGGCTAGAGGACAACACACCCCACACCCTGCCAGGCGCTGGAGTGCGTCTGTGTCTCACTGGTCTCACTGGCTGGTGACACCAGGACTTTCTTTTCACCATGGCCTTGTGAAGGTGACTCTCCCAGTTCCAGCTCTGATGCGGTGACAGAGCAAGGCCCTTTTTTGTCCTGGTCTCTGGCCCTTGAAGAAACTCCTCACCACATTCAGTGTCATCCACAGCCACCTTCCGGTCTGGGCGCTGGCAGGAGTATTTAACTTCTCTCCCCCTGTTGTTTCTTCTTTTGGTTTTGCAGGCTGGCTTCTCACGTAGGCTGGATTCGTGCCCTGCACCCAGGGTGGCCTGGGTGTACATCAGCTGAGGGGTAATGACAAGCCACCCTGTCCCCACAGCTCTCCTGCCTAGGTTACCTCGCAGGAGTAGATTCAAGTTTTATCTTATGGCTTGCAGTAAACTCTGTAGTGGGCACGCTGCTAGGCTCTGCCTTCTCTCTCGCCTACTGTGCTCATCATCTGCTTCTACAAATCCTTCGTCTTTGCTAGTGCATCTCCAGCTGCCTGCTCAAAAGGACGGGGTTTCTCCTCTTTGGTGCAGAGTTTAATGTGGGGGGGGGTACCTGGTGGCTATGGGTAAGATGGCTTGTGTCTCCCACAGGGAGCTTTATTCGATCGGGAAGGGAGTTGGATGTTCTCTGTGTGATTATGGTGGAAACGATTTACCACAGGGGTGGGAGGTTTAGGTACCGTGACCGAGGTTTCTGGGGACAGAGAGAAAGTAGGAAGAATAATGGAAGGTTTTCTAATTGACTAAGTATAATTTGGTTGACTAATATCTCTGAGGCACGTATCAGAGGGTTCAGGTAGCAAAGTGGTCTCTAATTTTTTTTTCCTTTTGCGTGTTCATGGCCCTGTAGGGTACAAGGACCTTCTGTATGTTTCCACAACGCTCGGACAGTTGTTGAAAGCACCAGATGTTGTGGACTCGCCCAGTGAGGGTAGAAGAAAGTAAGTGGGGAACAGCTTCTGTCCAGGCTCCCGTGCATCTTGAAGGTGAAAGCCATGTGTGTGAATTCCTCCCCACCCACACCTGTGGGTGTGGCATCCTCAGAGCTGACGTTGTTTAGTGTCCATTGTTGTTGCAGTTTTTGCCAGAACCCCCCCTGCGCCCTGTTGCGATAAATCTCCGTTCCCATAAACGGCCACTGCCTGTTCCTGCCTGCAGCCCTGGAGCTGCAGTGGAGCCCGAACTAGCAGGTGAAACCCCTGCTCTGTCTCTCCCCCCTGCCACTGGGCACCAAACGCTGTTTTGGCTTTGTGATTTCTCCATCTCCACACGCTGCCCTGACGCTCACCCAGCTCTTTTGCCAGCCTGTGCACTGCCTTGGCAGTGCCTGCACCTCACCTTGCACGGAGCGGAGGGAGGGTTGGCACTGAAGTGCTGCTAGCAGGAACTTAGGGCTGTCTGATTTTTATTTATGAGACAATATCCATTACTGCGTAGTAAGGTACTTGGATGTGTTTTTGGCTTGTGAATATCTCTAGTGTAGAGGTTAGAGATGGCTAAAAGAGCAAGTGGTGTTGCACCAGCTCTGACGAGGCTTATCTGGCTGTGTTCGGTCTTACTTGCATCTGAGGAAGCACCGCAGGATTTATTTGTTCACCGGTTACACTGTCCACAGCAGCGTTCTTGTTAATGACCTAGTTTCCCACCCACGTTCCCACGTGGCGTGCTGCGATTTGTAAGCTGTCCCACAGCTCCCAGTCACCTGTGTCCGTCTCTCTCCAGTCACGACCGCCTCCTGTGCCTGGATGGAGGGGGCATCCGGGGCCTGGTGCTCATCCAACTCCTCCTGGCTATCGAAAAGGCTGCGGGCCGTCCCGTTCGTGAGGTTTTTGACTGGATCGCGGGGACCAGCACTGGGGGGATCTTGGCCTTGGCTATTGTACACGGTGAGGACAGTGTGAATAATGGGCCCCTTCTCGCTCCTGTGGGCTTGAGCGCTCCTCTGTGGGGAGCGGATGCAGGGTGAGAGCTGCCTCTCTGAGTCCCGACTAAGATTTGTTGTCCCTGCCAAAGGAGGGAAGGGAAGTTTGTTAATGAAGGAAAGCCTAGACCTGGCTTTGTGCTCGATTCTCACGTCAGCTGGCCTTGAGCAGCTTTCTGGGTTTTGGGAAGCGTGTGGTGGCAGAGTGCAATGTTCTGTTCTTCCTGCTCCTTCCACGGGGGTTTCACAACAAGGTGATCAGCACTTTCTGGTAGTGGGAAACTATCCTCTGGCTTGCCCTTTCTCTTTAATCCTACCCAGTCATGCTGCTGAGGTCTGAGCAGATGACAGGCAGCCTGGGAAGGGGATGGGATTGGGTGTGATGCCTCTCATCTCCCGCTGGTCCTGGAAAGTCCCAGCTCTGATGTGCTGTTTGTTCTGCCTGCCTTTCCTCCCACCCCCTGCTCCTGCTGACGCTGTTGCCCATCTCAGGGAAGTCCATGGACTACATGCGCTGCCTGTACTTCCGCATGAAGGACATGGTATTCCGGGGGTCTCGGCCCTACGAGTCGGAGCCCCTGGATGAGTTCTTGAAGAAGGAATTTGGGGAAAACACCAAAATGACAGATGTCCAAAAACCCAAGTAAGTCCTGCCTGGGGCTGCGCTGGTTGATGCTTTCCTTAGTGTGCTCTAGACCCCTCTCAGCAGAGATGCTCAGCCTTTCCTTAGAGCAGATCTTAGAGTGTGATGTGCAGACTATTGAAGTGATAAGTATGGTTTTTTTTCCATTTTACTCTTATTCTGTCATGTTGTCTCCCCCAGGGTTATGGTGACAGGGACGTTGTGCGACCGGCAGCCAGCTGAGCTCCACCTTTTCCGGAATTACCCCGTACCAGAGACAAAAACCTCCACTGAATACAAGACAAGCGCATCTTTCAAACCACTCACTCAGCCAGAAGGTAAATGCTGGCACACAGCAGTCCAGCTGGTTGGCAGGGGAGGGGGTCGTCTCTCAGAGACAGAAGATTTTCTGTTCTTCTCCCATTGCTCTGAAAATCGGGGTGTCCCAGCAATGGCTCATCCCTGATCTTGGCTTGTAGCTTGGTCCTAGTGATAGTTCCCTTTTCTCCTCTCTCCTCCTCCCTTGGCTTCTCTTGTAACAGGAACAGGGGCTGGCTAGCGAGGTTCATGAGGAATGGGTCTGCTAGAGGAGTCCTGCGTACAGTCAGTACCTTTCCCTGGGCTCTCAGGAACAGATTAACATGGAAAAGCTGTGTAACTGAAGCATGCAGCCCCCTCCAGCTTGCTTCTTTCTTTGTCTAGCAAACATAACTGGTTCACCATCAAAATAGCAACAATGAAGCTGGTAGAGAGTGAATTTGACCCAGGATATGTAGAAAGTGTTGAGAACATCTTTTAAAGCCCCCGCAAATAATCCTGTGCATCCAAGCAGAGGCCCTACTGTTGGGAGAAAGAGGCACAGCTATCTAGGGCAGGGTCTTCTGGGATTGCAAGCCCTCCTGCTTTGTGTTGGTGAAGGCGGGGTTCTTCCTGCACACAGGAAAGTTGCTGCAAGAGGCTCTATGCTTTCTCTCCCTCCAGACCAACTTGTATGGCGTGCTGCCCGCTGCAGCGGTGCGGCTCCCACATATTTCCGGCCGATAGGCCGCTTTCTGGATGGTGGGCTACTAGCCAACAACCCGACCCTTGATGCCTTGACAGAGATCCACGAGTACAACAAGACGCTGATCAAGAAGGTGAGGGAAATCCTGGCCCTGACTGGTAACTGGGTCTTTATTGGCTCCACTGAGCCTCCCTTGAAGGGGACGAGGGTTTGGGAACAGATGCCTCTCTAGTGGATAAACAAGTTAGCAGTGCAGCACCCTAGAAGGGTGTGTATGAAGGGGGATATGTGTTGGGAATGGTGGCTGAGAGGTGAAATACCTCTTCTGACAAGGGTGTTGAGACAGGGAGGCAGCCCCATCAGCCTGTCCTTGCTACTTTGAGCAAGGATGATTCAGTTGATGGTTGTGTGTGGCCCTTGATGCAGCTCTGCAGGGCCTTTTTCTGCCCAAAAATAAATGGAGAAGACAATGGTAGGGCACTTTGCAAGGCTGAAGAGTGAATGCCTTCTGTGGTGCGGCAAGTTCCTCAGAAAGGTGACTAACTACTGGCAGCTACTGGTCCGTGTAGCTGAAAGTGGAGGTGTGTTGCCAATATGACTGAAAGAGCTGGACTGTTTCACAGTCATCTGGTCCTAGGACTCATCTTTGGGGTGATCCCATGCATTTGGGTGCAGCCAGGGGTGTAAGGGGCGGAACAGTGCAACTGTTGAAGTCACATGGATTATACCTGTCCCACCAGGCAGTACTAAAGGGGGAAGATGGGGGAGAGAAAAGGCTACTGAGCCTTTCACCTTGGCTTTCAGAGCTTCCCCAAGACTACTGTGAAAGACATGCTCCGCCTTAATTGTTGGTCCTTGCAAGCAAATCTTTTGTTTGTCCACAGGGTCAGAGGCAGAAAGTAAGAAAATTGGGGTTGGTGGTCTCCCTGGGGACAGGGAAGCCTCCGCAGGTCCAGGTGAGCTCTGTGGATGTTTTCCGTCCCTCCAACCCTTGGGAGCTGGCGAAGACCGTCTTTGGGGCCAGGGAGCTTGGCAAGATGGTGGTGGATTGTGTGAGTACTGGGAGGAGGGGATGGGGGAAGACCCCTGGGGCTGCTTGCAGGGAGGGAGCAAAGGTTTCCAGTCTTCAGCTTCTTCCTTTTGGAAGAAAATTGTTTTTCCTTGGAACTGCTCCGACCATGGCCAGTTCAAGGAATGGATGTAGTGGGTAACCTAAGAATTGTGGGAGCACAGTGGGTCTGAAGCCCTGTCTGCCTGTTCAGGGTTTCAAGTCCCAAGGGAGCTGCAGTCCCTGCAGCTGTAAGGAGCTAAGGTGGTGGGAGAGCTGAGGACAGGATGGTGGTCAGTGAGCCCTAGGAACATTTGCAGGTGTGTTTGTGAAACTCAGTATCTTTCCAGGGAGCACTGATTATCATCTGAGCAACCTGGACCAAAAAAATCACACCTTAGAAAACAGCAATTCATTTTTCTTCAGAAAAGCTTTGTTATCCCCACTGGGGAAATTAGCAAATGCTAGAGAAGTGGGAGTATCACTAATAAAAAGCAGTAGTTCAGAGCTGTGGTTAGGAGTATGTAATAGGCATACGTTCTTGGATGCTTCAGAAAAAAGCTGATTAACTGTTGCACGTGAAAACATTCCAAATGAATGAAAGCCAGAAAGATCAGAACTGAGGTTTTGACTATAATCTTAATTCTGTCGCTTTATCTCCTCTTAGTTTCCTAAAGCCAGAAAATACCCGGAGAGGTCCCTCTGCTTCCCCTGTCTTTTATTTCAGGGCTCCCAGGGAAGCTGTCCCAGGATAGCCCAGAAAGCCTGCAATAATCACAGGCTCTACTGCTACTGGGCTTGGATAAGAGGTGAAATCCCAAGGAGGCTGTGATTCAGATCATCCTGGGTGTTTCTTTAAGGGAATTCACTTGGTGCTGTGATGGATGGAGGATCTGTAGGGTGCAATTCCTTGTGTCCCCAGGATCCAGGAGCACTGTTCTTATGTTAAAAAAACCAAACAAAAAGCCACCCCGCTCTTGGTGGTGAATGTTGCCATCCAGCAGGCACTTGCTCCTGGTTTTCCCTCTCCCTCTGCGGCTTGTGCAAGTTTGACTTCGTGCCAGGGAGCCTCTTGCAGGCAGGGGGAGAGCAATGTGACCGTCAGGCTCTAACTGTGGGCCTGTTTCTCCTGCAGTGCACTGACGCAGATGGCCCAGCTGTGGATCGTGCCAGGGCCTGGTGCGAGATGACGGATGTCCCATATTTCCGGTAGGAGCTTCCTTTCCGCTCTGCACAGACTTATTTTTAGCCCTCTCACTTCAGACCTGGCTGTGGCATGTGTCATCCCAAATCGTGTCCCCTCCAGTGGCATGCCTGCCCGGACCTGTCCCCCTGACCCCTCTCCTCATGCCTCAGTGACGTATCGGAGGATGCCACGGCCCACTCTATGAGCTGATATACCGAGCATGCCTTGTCTGGGGTCGGTTAGTGGGGGCTCGGGGGATGCTGTCTAACAGGGTCCTTAGGGGATGCGCATCCTGCCCTGTTCCACCACGCACAGCGTCTTTTGAGGTTCATGCCTTAGGTGGTGCAGTTGCTGAACTGGTCTCAGCCTTGAGTGTGGTTGTGCCTTGAAGGAGGGGGAAGGCCTCCGCACTGCAAGCCTGCTAGGTAAGGGGAAGCGAATGCCCAGGATGGTGGGAGCCACTTCACACAAGTCTTGTGCTTGGCACGCTTGCTGCCTTGTCGCGCTCCTGTTTGTGCCCAGCTGGTGATGCTGTCTTGCCGTATGTAGGCTCAGCCCGCAGCTGCACACGGAGGTGATGTTGGATGAGGTGAACGACACCGTGCTGGTGAATGCTCTCTGGGACACCCAGCTTTACATCTACCAGCAGCGGGAGCAGTTTGAGCAGCTGGTGCAACATCTCTGCCGATGACTGACCTGGAGGTTCCTGTTCAGCATCTCCGTGGCAAGGAGCAGCAGACACTGCTCAGATTTGCCCTTGAACCAAGATGTTGAGGTGGGGGAGGGACTACTACTACTAATAATGAGGAATTAATGATATTTAATAGACAACAGTGCACATACACATGTATTCCAGGACACACCCATGTATTCCCGGACAGCTGTGAAATGCTGACAGTTATCTCCGTATTGTGGCCCCATCTCTGCTGCTGTGCTCTGTTTTGCTGCCCTGCTCTCTGACCGTACAGCCCTTCCCAGAAGCCAGAGCCCCCACCTACCTGTCTTGAGCTGTAGCAGCTGGAGTCTGTCTCCTGTCTGTGCAGCACCTCCACTGACAAAGCACCATGCACCTTCCCACATCACAGAATGGGCCAAGGCCAGGTAAAGCGTCAGGGATTACTTGGCCCACTGGGGCCAAGGTGTTTCGGAGTGTATAGTATGGGGAAAAGGGATTATTCTTCCCTCAACACGCCCGGTTTGAAGGGGAGCAGAAACGCTGCAACTTTCTGCAGTAGATGTGATGCAGAATGTTGCAACTGGCCTTGGGAGAAGGGGGAACCTTTCCTGAGCCAGTTGTCTTCTGTAGCACCTTCCCCTTTCCCCTCCGAGGTGGGCTGGCAACACAGGTACTGGCTGCGCCAAGGGTGGGAGCAGACCACCCCCCCCACCCCGAGACTGTTTTGTGCCACCTGACTTGCTGTGCTACTCTTTGCTGAAGAGCTGAGATGTGAAAGCCTGTCTTTACTTGTAGCAAGCTCAAGATGAGGGACAATAGCCTTGGTTTGGCAGAGAGATCGTTTCTCTTTATTCTTAATGTGGAATTGAAATGCTCTGAGATCAGTTCCCACTAAAGAAGCTGGCCCCGTGACAGTTTGGATTTACTTTTTTTACTGGTGGAAATTCCGTTGTGAATGCTACACTACGCAATGTTTCTGTAGTAAATTTTCGTATTTATAAATAATTTATGTATCTTTGGAGGCATTTTGAGGAGTAACCTGAAGAACTGAATTCGTAATCGTTTGCTTTTGACTGGATGGACTGCTGTTGTGAGCAGTGCTTCTATGCAGAACTAACATGACCTGAAATAAAGAGGTTTCCATTTGGTTCCACTGTCATGCAGTCCATGGTTGTATTGTCTCTCTCTCCATCCTACAAAGTCTCAGAGGGGTTCTGAACTTGCAGCTTCTGAATTTCTTCCAGGTAGAAAATCGTGAACTGGGCTCCTTGAGACACAGGGTTATGCCCTTTGTATTGGGCTGAAGGGGTAAACGGCCTGTCCCTACAGCCAGCCAGGGGAGCATGTGTGTGGTGTGAGTGGCTGGCTGGCCCATGAAGAACAACACTGCATGCCGGGCTTGTCAGTTGCAGACTTTGGAGAGGCTTTGGACCAGCTCCCGTGTGAGAATCCTCTTGGAGCTGGTCTGGCCTAAAAAGAGGAACACTGAAAACGCTTGGGATATAAATGACTGGAGACGGGGCTTTAACTTTGGTATCCCCAGGTGGTTCCTGGACAAGGTAACTGCTGCAAGCTTGCTGGACCTGGTGCCCACTGATTCCTAAGGGACACTGCTGGCAGCAGTGTGGGTGCCAAGTCGTGGATAGGGCTAAAAACTGATTATCTGCCTTCTGATCTTCACTTTCACAAATGACATTGTGGAATTAAGGGTCTTTTAATGTGGAGTAAAGGTTTTCTTTTTCCTACATAACGGAGGGGCTTACCTTCCTGTGGAAAAACAAAACCCCACATCTTGGGATGGAGAGAACATGAGCTCCTTTCTGCTTTTTGCCCCTGGCTTGCAATCCCCCCCTCTATAAGCCTGCACTAGCTGCAGGGACTTCCCAGAGTGATCTGTGCTCGGGCTCCTTGCATGCAGGCAGGGAGAGCAGGAGGGTTCAGGCACAAAGCTTGTGCCTGCTGTTAGGGAGTCTCATTGAGACCGGGAGTGGGAGGGATGCCAAGAGCCAGAGGGCTGAGGCCTGGGATGAGGGAATAGTGGGCAGGGAAGAGGTGAAACCTATTTTGAGCTTTCCGTATGTTTCCCCCCAGCTCCTGCTATTCGCTGCCTGCGATCGCAAGCTGTGTGCGAGGGACCCGAAGATGCTCTGCTAGCACAGTGAGGCCAAGCGAGCCACCTCCGAGCGGTGGCAGTGACGGAGGCAGCGAGCCATAAGGCAGTTACTCTGGCAGGTGGCTGGCTCTGCAGGTGTCAGGGCAGGGAGAGCTGGGTACTGAGCTGGCAATCAATAATTCAAGGAGGCAGTCACATGCACTTGCTGGCTGTCACAGGATTCCTCTCTCCCCAGAGTCCGGTTACTTCCAGAGATCAAGTTCCAGCCTCTTGGCTGGTGAATTATTAAACTCCAGCAGTGCTCCATTCCCTTTGTACCACGTCTGTGTCTTCCTGCTGTCCTACCTTGCCAGTGACGGGCTCTTTCCATCCAGCTGGCTGTGCAGAAGCAGAGTCCTCTGGGCCAGTATAGCACCTTGTGCTCTCCTTTGCTCCTTGATTCTCAGTGGGAGAGGGAAAAGGCTCTGGAGATGGACCTGTCCTACAGATCCACCATCTCCATCTATAAGGTGAGTGCCGACACCAGAGGCTGCTCCTGTCTGCCTAGGGGAGGGAGACGCGTGGGTGGGAGGAGAAAAGCTGTTTTCTGCCAAAGGCTCCTTTGAAGGGTGGACAGCCGAGGGCTGGATCCATCCCCGGGCTGAACTGCAGCAGCTCCTGTGGGCTCTGGGCTGTGTTTGAGAGTAGGACGGCTGGCAGGAAGGGAGGGCGGTGTGGGTCTTAAGGCAGATCCAGGAAGGAACTGGGCAACCAGGGTGGTTTGGACACGGAGCATGTTTATGAAGGGTGACATGCCTTAGTTGCCGGTAGGAAGCTGGAGCTCAGTCAGCTGTTTTCCCCTTTGCTCAAAAGAGCAG